ATTGCAATTGATAGAAATACAGAGTGAGCATTTCACTTCAATGAAGATAATGAAGAATTGACATAATGATAAAAGATAAAGATACACTAAAGAAGAGAAATGGTGATTGATGAATGTTCAGTCGACATAGATAACGGTGTAATTACAAAATCGAATTCGAAATTTATCATGAACACTAATATTCTATTAAAGAAAAAAAAGCAGAAATTTTTGATGGCACTTTTCGCACACTTAAGAGAGAAAGAGAATTGAAAAAAAGAAGATAGCAAGAGAAAAGAGAGAAATATAAGTCAATTCTTGGATCTACAAAAAAGTTTCAACCTGACGTACGAACACAAGGTTTTTGTTATCAATTTTGATGTGTAAAAAAAGAAGTGATAAATTGATAGAAGTAGATTGATACCAAAAAGGTGATGTAAAAGGAAGTCAAAGGAAAAGAACGTTTTTTTGATACCAAGAGTTTGAGTGCCTTTTGTTGTTATGTGAGTGATATAAGACAAATTGGTAAAGATCTACAGGGTAAATAGAAGAGGGAAAAGGAGAGATCAAGAAAACCTTTCAAGAAGATTAGAAATACGATTGTTTGTTTAGTGTTGACATCGGTAGTTCTTGATTGAAGAAGTAGTTTGGAGTAACAAATGGCTGAGAATATGGTTAATTAATTGCTCGTCCATATGAAGAAAATTGCATTTCTTTTTTTCTCTCTCTCTTTCTTGGTTTTTCTTTTTTTTTCTTTACTTCACTAACATCGTAAATCAGGAGAGTTAAAGAAAAAAAAGAAGAGAAGATTTTTGAATTGAAGTTAAATCGATGATGATGAAGAAAAAGAGTTGAAAATTGTGTCAAATTGTATAAATATGTTTAAATTGTTGTTAATTATGTTACACATCCTAGTGGACACCGGAAGCTTCCTTATAATCGGATCCATCCAGTGTAAAGAAATCTTCAAGTTTCCATTGCAATGTTTCAAATGTTGGTCTTTTCATTGGATCTTTATGCCAACACTCTAACATTATCTCATAAAGTGCCTGCGGGCATCCTTGTGGACAAGGCATTCGGTAACCATGTTCAACTTGGTGTAATACCTCAGCATTGGTCATACCTGGATAAGGTAAACGACCATATGTAACAATTTCGGTTAATAAAATACCGAAAGACCAGACATCCGATTTTATGCTGAATTTACTAAAATTAGCGGCTTCTGGTGCTGTCCATTTGATTGGGAAACGAGCACCAGCACGAGCTTCGTATTCATCTTCTTTAATTAACCGAGCCAAACCAAAATCAGCAATTTTAACAACATTTTTCTCACCAACAAGAATATTTCGAGCAGCTAAATCTCTATGTATATAATTTTGTGACTCAAGGTAGGCCATTCCAGAGGCGATATGAGCTGACATGTCAATAAGTTGGGGGAGTTTAAGACTACGTCCTTTTCCTTGAAGATACTCTAAAAGGCTTCCGTTTTTCATCAATTCGGTAATGATGTAAATTGGTTCTTCTAAAGTACAAACAGCGTAAAGTTGTACCAATTTAGGATGTCTAAGTTTCTTCATGATCTGAGCCTCAGCTAAGAAATCTTTTGGATCCATAGTTCCTGGAATAAGAGAGAGAGAAAAAAAATTAATAAATCAATTGAAGTTTTGTTTGGTTTTTTTTTGTTTACGATTATCTTTCAGCTACGATTGAAACGTTTAAACCTAATTAAGGAAACAATAACTGAGTCATTTTCGCCTTTTTAAAAGTGATGGATCGATAAAATCGAGTAAAAAAAGGCTGAAGGAAGAATTGAAGGTAAAGATATTATTTGCTGTCTATAAATGATGAAGGTTAATTTCTATTCGTATACAAAAATATGATCATTTTTGGCGACTTTCTAACGATACAATTTCACTGATCAAAAACAATCTGTGTGATGCCTGAGTAGGGAAAGAATTTGCTTTTTTCGCTCCTTTCAATGTAAATATGAGAGAGAAAGAGAAATTGATAACCATCTCAGTTTTGACTTCCTTCCAGAAGTATGGAAATAATAATTAATCAATTCTGTTAAACTAACCTGTCTTTAGAGTTTTAATTGCTACTGGTGTGGTGTTATTCCAAAGACCTTCCCAAACTTCACCAAATTGTCCTTGGCCAAGTTTACGGGTAAATTTGAGAGAGGTTCGATCAATTTCCCATTGATCTCTATGTGACAAACCACTGGTAGTTGGTTTTTCAATTTGAATACAGGGTTTCCTTAAGTTTACACATAAACCATCAGCGTCTTTGTTGTAATGTTCAACAAGTTCTTGTAAGGTTTTAAATGGTATTCGACGGGCAATGAAAAATCCACCTTCGTCTAGATTTCTGATTCGGTAGTGTTTTACTGTATCACCATCACGAACTGACAAGGAGAAATCATTACGACGGCTTTCACTGTCCCGAATAAGGAATGATCCGTGCTCATTTTCTGGCATCAAAAGTTTCTTTTCAGCTTCAGCTCGCTTGATTTTTCCAAAATACCATCTTTTATATATTAAATGATGAAGTGAAGATTGTGTGAAAGAAGAGAGAGAGAGAGAAGAGGAGGAGGAGGAAGATAAAGAGAGTAAGGTGAGAAAAAAAAGAAGATACACCAAAAAAGAAAAAGAAACAATTAGAACATAATGAAAGATGGGTTAACTTAGATTATTATTATTCTTATATTGAAACTTACGGTTCTGCTTCAATAGAAGACAGTTTGGCAACATAATTGGAGGGTATATATCCCTCTAATTTGGTTGATTTTGATTTAGCATACCACCAATCACCTTGAGTATCATTAACCACGATTAAATGTTCACCTTTCTTAAAACTTAAATCTTCCTCAGTCCGAGCATCATAATCATAAAGGGCAACAAACACTTTACTATTGTTAAGAAGGTGATCCTCTGGTCCATGTAAACTATCATCATTTAGAACCGGTACAACAGGCAGATTAGATGAACCACTGGCACCAACAACTCCAGAAGGATTAAGTTGTCCACCATTTCTTAAATTAGACACATGAACATGAGAAGAATCCAAATTACTTTGTATGGGTGCACTGATTAATTCATGGTGTTGTTGGGTGAGGCCTGGTGATCGACTGGTCAAATTGTCACCGGAGGGTTGATTACTTGTATCCTCTGTACGACGTTTAGACTTACAACAGAAGCAGCCCATCATTGATAACAGAGGAAGTAGAATCAAAACACCATTTAAATTCCAGACAAAAAGAATAGAAAAAAAAATCAAAATAACAAACAATTTAAAACATTTTATTATTAAATCAGAAAAAATCAAAAACAACAAATGAATAAAAAGAAGTGAAAAAGAAAGAGATAAAGAAAGGAAAAATCAATTCCAAGACCAAACCTTATTTTCTTTCTTTGTGTCGCCATCTCTCGGTGTTAACCTTAAATTCTCTCAAAGCATGTAGATAATTTTGAAAGAAAATAAAATTAAATCTTCTTAATTTTAATCCATTAAGAATCTTAATTTTTATCGCAATTTCTTAATAATCTTGGTGTTTAAATTAATTTGGATTATAATTTAGACGTTAGAATGGAACATTGTCTTCACAATTGGTTTTCTTTTTCATTTTCTGTGTCTTTCCTTTGGTTTTATTTCTTTGTTTCCATTGATTAGTGAGTTTTGTTTATTTTTTTGTTCGTCATCTTTAATTGTTATTTATTCAATCTAAATGAATTTAATATTTTATATTGGGTCTGTCAACTTTGCTCTTAATTCATGAAGTTCATGGAGTAGTGAGACGGATAAAAGATTCAATTCTTTTTGTTGATTAGATGATGGGAAATTAAATTACATTGATGATTCTTTATCACAATTGATCAAGATCAAGGGTAAACTAATTGGTTTCTCTCTCTCTTTCTTTGATTGTCTCGCTGTTTAATAGTCTTGATTAGGATGCCGATGGGTGTAAATTAGGGAAGAGGAAGTGATATGTTTTCTAGATGTTACACATGGAAAATAGTTTATTTTTTACAAACATGATGAAAAGATGAAGTGAATCAAAGAGAAAGTGAAAATGGCGATGAAAATAAGCTTTTGGGTATATTGATATAATTCCAACAATTTAGTCATATAAAATGGAGATAAATTGTTGGCTTTCAACAATAACAGAAGCTTAATTTAGATGTTATTTTAATCAACTCAATTCTAATCCCAAAGATGAATTCTATTGTCCCAACCAGCAGTTAAAACTTTACTCGTCTCGTGTGGATGCCAAAGTACATTGATACAAACATTTTCGTGGGCTTGAAGTTTAGTTAACAATTTGGTTGTTTTCCAATCCCAAATGAATAATTTACCATCGGCATCACCGCTAATTAAATATGACATGTCAGGTGAGAAATCAGGTGTACAAGCATAACCAGCAACCATATGACCGGTGAAAACTTTTTTCGAGTTTAATTTAAAACTATTTAGACAAGCGAAACCTTGAATCTTATTGTCCATCGATTGACAGGCCAACCATTTACCGTTAGGTGAAGGTGAAATCGCTGGCATTGAATGTAAACCAGGATCAGCGATGTATTTAATATCAACCGGAATGTCCCATTCCCAAACTCGAAGACTTTTATCATCGGAAGAGGAAACAAATCGTCGGTTATTGTCAACAAAATTGATCGTATTTATAGCGCCCAAGTGACGATCATATTCTTGAATAATTTGACCTGATCTTGTGTCCCAACAAAGGATCTTCTTATCAGCCATACCAGAAAGGAAAAGATGATTTTTATCATCGTCAGGATTAAATTTGACACAAAAGGGAACCTTTCGATTGGGAAATCTTTTAACACATTGTCCAGTTTCTGTGTCCCATAATTTTAAACCGCGATCATAACCCGCTGAGATAAAATGATCACCTCGACGATTGAAACAAACATCTCGAACAGCCTGTTTATGTCCAGAATAGGTTAAAATACATCTTCTATCACGATAGACTTCCCATAATTTAATTTTCGCATCCATCCCAGTGGACAGGAAAAGATGAGCTGATCTAGGAAACCAACGAATAGCAGTTAAACCCTTTGTATGACCAGTGTAAGTATGAATTATCCTCTTGGGAAGGAAACATTTACGAGGTACATTGTCACCTCTTAGATTAACATCTAAATCTTGGGGTGGATGAAGGAAAGATCTTCCTTGATAATCATATGGATCTGGAATGTGAATTGTACTTTTCTCATCAATTTCTTTCTCTTCACGATTAACTGTAAACTTTTTCTTTTTTGACATAAATTCTTCAATCTCTTTCTGCTCTTCTTCACTTGGTCGAGAAACAGTAACTTCTCCTTCATATGGAGCCCAAGGTCCTAAATAATTATCTATGTCCATAGGGTCATCGTTTTTTAATCGTTTCTTCCGGCTAGTTGAATCTTTTGATTGATAAGCTTTTACCTCAGGGTCATCGGAAACACTGGCCACTGGTAAACCCAATTGAGCAGATGCCTGGAAAATGAAGTGATAAGAAGAGTAAAAGAATTGCAAACAGTTAGATAAATTCTCATAGGAATGATAATCTTGTTGGTAGAAAATATTTTCTCAATCAACTTACAGCTCCTTTGACAACTTTATCTTTTAATGTTGCATTATCAGAGGGATCATAAGCTATTCCATGGAAATGAAAGGTTCGTCTTTGTGTCTCAAAGTGATAATCATTTACCGCTGTCACCTCAACTTGTCCGGTTAGAAAGTTTTTCCGAGGAAGAGAGGAAGATGGTCGTGAGGGATGTGAAGATGGTCCAATATTGGGAGCATAAAGATCATCATATTTAGCATTATATGCAATCTTTTTAGTTGAATCAAGATCAATAGCAGGTTGAAATTCAGTTTTTTGTCGGAAATCTTTAACATGAGACTCATCCACTTGTGGGCAAGTATTTATTTGACTTAATTTACCTTTAATATCAACAGATATTGATGGTACAGGTAATTCAATATCTTTCTTGTCACTAGTTGAAGGTTTAATTGGAACCTTGGTACCAACAGGAGTTTCCCCTTCTTCTTCATCTGATGAACCTCCACCATAACTTTGAATTAGATTAATCATGATGATGAAACTCTAAATGAAAGAAACAAAATCTTAATAAAAAATTCCACTGTCAAAATAAAATTAAAACCAATCAATTCAAACATTAAACTCAAATTAATTTACGAAAACCAGAAAACAAAACCACAACAATCAGTTGTTATTAAGAAAAAAACATTTTCCTTTCTTCAAAAGATCAACCGAGAAAATCATCAATCTTACCTTACCTTAAATCAAATCACTCGAATGGAAAACAATTGTACACTTAGATATTATCTTAACAAATCAATTTTTAACCCAATTAACTTAATTATTCTAAAACCAAATTAAAAGAAAATTAATTAAGAAAACAAATTAATTGAAGAAAATTTTTTCTCTAAAAGTAAACAAAAACCCGGTTACTATTGTGTCTCCATCTCGGTGGAGAAAAATAAACTACGCTAGAATTTAAATTCGATTTTTAGAATTTTCGACAAAAAGAACTTTTTTTTATTCTCTTTTAATCTTTAGATTGAAGATCTTTCATTTTATCTCAAGTTTAATCTTTTTTTGATCAGTTTTTTTTTCTTTCTAATTGTTACAATTTATTTTTGTGATTTTCTAACAGTTTTATCTGTGCCATCTTATTGTTTCTCTTGGTGTTTTATTTGTCTTTCAGTTAGCAAGATGATTGATACTGGTGAGGTAAATAAATATGATTGCGTAAAAAGTGAATTGATTGAAAAGATAAATAGCCAAAAGCTAATGGAAAATGAAATCACTGTTTGTGAAAATGCAATTAATGATTTAAAGTGTAAAATTGCGGATCTTGATTACAACATTGCTGTTAAACATAATGAACTAAACGATCGACTCAATTGTTTAGAGCAATCTAAAATGATCAACTGTTATGGTCAATATGTTCAAGATGTTACTAAACGTTGGATTGGCCATTTAAAAGAATCTTTTGGTAATCATAATGATTATTTGGAACATTTGGCTCTTGGTAAAGATGAGTTATCCAATTTGGCTGAACAATTCATTGAAATCAAAAACGAGATATTAATGAATAAAAATTTGAAACCTGGTTGGAGTCGGGACTCTGTTAAAAGATATGCTGAAAATTTGATCACCAGCGTTGAAAATGACGCTAAAAATGATTTACGTTTTGAGCGTGATGAATTGGTTATACTTCAGAGGCGAATTGAATCAGAAGCTGAACTTTTGAAATATTGTGTCAACGAAAAGCAATTGGAACCACCAGTTTTCGAGAATATAAAAGTGACTCTGCTCGAGAAACTCAATCTTGATGATTATGGACGTAAAGCTATCAAGAGACACTTTGTTGGAACTAACGATGAGCACAAAAAACGCGCAAGAAAAGGTGAATATGTTAGCGTTGATTTTCAGAAGGCTGTACCAACTAATAGCTATCGACATCAGCAACAACAATATCCATCACAGCCAAAACCACAATCACAAGAAATTTGTCCCACCAACACTTCACAAACCTTTGGTTACAATGAAAAGACCGATGAACAACCAGTTAAAGCTTCAGCACATCGACTTAACCTTGGAGAAAGTCAGGAACGAAATGAAGAACCGTCAACCTCTCAACCAATTCGGAATCACGTAAAATTTGAAGAGCCTCCTCGTGTAAATCAGTATATGAACAGCCGTTCATTCAACGATTCATTTGAACAGCAAGATATGGATTCTCGCAAACGTAAAAATCAAAATGAGTTACCATCACCATTGGATAAAGTTGTTGATCTAATTGAAGACTCTCCAGACTATGTAATAGATGAAGACAACACCAATGAAGCGAAGAGAGCTAAATATGACTCAGACAAGGAACTTGATCTAGAATTTGGTAGTAATTACTGTGAGCCAGATTTCTTGCAATACCCACCAAATACTCAAGGAGATACACAGGCAAGTGATTGCTTATTCTCTTTTACCCAAGATTTTAATTTGGACTTTTTTGGAACAACCAAAAATGATGTCACAGAGAAAGAGCCAAGCATCAAGGGTGTACTTCATTAATCCAGTGGAAAATAGCAGAGGAAACGTCAAAACTTCGTCAACACTTCTGATGAGTATCACTTTTTTCTTTTCATTCCTGATTTCATCATTCCTTCTATTACTATTATACCCGAAATAGTTCTAATACATTTCATTCGATTATCAATATCAATGTTAAAATTTCAATCAAATCAAAAATAAAAGCCAGAGCAAATATACGATGGTTAAAGCTCTTTATTGCTACTTTGTTTATGAGCCAGATAGAGAAAGCCAATACTGGAAAGAGCACTGACCAAAAATATTACATCAAACCATCGGTGATAAAAGTTAAATTGTAAATCTCCTAAAACTTGAGTAACAATTGTCCGATATTCAAGAGGCATATTCATCCTCATGAGAACGACACTTGATACGAAATACATTGCCATTATCTCCGCAAGAGCTAAGACAATTATATTTGACGATTTAGGACTTGATATGGCGTAAAAAAATTTAGTTAAAGCAATTAAAAGACCTCGAATAGAGGAAATAACAATTATCCCAACAAGAAGAAAGGAAACATGTTGTGACCAAAATTTAACATCAATTTCCAATCCAATCCAATTAACAGCAATTTGAATACCCCGAGTGACAGGATCGACTCGACCAACACGATTAAACACAATATTAATTGTAGACTAGAGGAGGGGGAAAAAAAGTAAACAAACAATTAGATTGATTAACTAAAAACAAATACGAGAATTTACTTACTATAAATATTTTCCATATACAGTAGAGAGAGAAAAAATAACCAATAAAGTGAAAATATTTTCCTTTAAAAGTCTTTGACCATTCCATTCGTGTTTGCATCGCTTTCATATCAACCAATTCTAAAAATAATTGTCTTGCCAATTCTTCTAAAGTTCGACAATCAGATCTTAATTGTGATACACTTTCAGAACCTGAAGATGAAAAGGTTTGAATGACACTTGTCCAAAGAGAAGTTGTTGATGGTGATCGACTGTCTTTCTCAATTAAAATGATCCTTTTCTTTTTCATCACAATTAGATCATATGTTCGGATTAACTTTTTCTCTAATGAGGTAACATCAGCCGAAGTAACAACTCTCATAAAATAAGTCATCGAGGTATAAGGATAATTGACAGCACCAAATCCCGAAAGTAAAGCCATAAGAGTAACACCAATTACACCAACTCGACTGATTCCTTGTTCAATTGAGAAAATACCATGTTTAGGACTTAGAATGGGAAAAGGATCACCAATCTTCCAGAATAGGAAGATAAATATACACCAGATGAGGAAAGTCATCGGTTTGATGTATCTTTTGGCGATGAAAGTTACATTGCATAGAATACAGTAACTTATATATAAAGGTAGAATCAAAATGATGATAAATAACATGATGTATAAAATTAATTTCCAATAGAAAAATCTTGTACTTGGATCAAGGATTCCAATTATCTCAAAGATAATCAGTTCAAACATTGAACATGACAATGAGAATGTAATAGAAAATATAAGCTGGACAAATGAATGATGAACTTCATAATCACGGAACAATTGTTTCACAAAGAATATCCATCCACCGGCAAAGAAAAGTACCTGAGATAATATCACAACGAAAATATCACCAAATAAACTCATCTTTGACTCTCCTTCTCTAGAAAACCAAATCACCTAATAGTTTGTTATTTTCTCTCCTTTTCAGACAATTTACCATATTAACAAATTATCACTGTTAACATTTAACACGTTTTCCCATGATGGTTAATTACAAATCTAAATGCAAATTAAGACAGAGAAAAAAAAACAAACCCATTAGATAAAAGGTAAGGAAAAAAACGTTGCATAGGTTAACACATACACAGACTAAACTTTGCAGAGAAAAACATTAATTACTTACCCTAATTAAATTGACAGTTGAAGTTAATTGTTGACCTTAGTTGGGGTAAAATAAGTGAACCTTAAATTACATAATAAAATTGGTTTGGGTTAATTAAAAAGGAAAAAGAAATCAATCTAATTGAGAAGAGAAAAATTTAGAATAGAAAAAACACATGATGGAAGACAGAGAAGAAAAGAAAGAGGAAAAGAAGAAAAAACGTAGACAGAGAAAAAGAAAGAAAAAAAAATTGAGCTTCTTTTTATTTGTTTTCTCTTGTTGATGGATTGAAATTAATTCTTCATGTTAATTGTGATTAACTTGATTTCTTTTTTCTTTTTTATTCTTTATTGTTTGGAACAATTAAACGAATCATATTTAAGGTAAGTTTTCATTTTTTCTCTTCTTTCTTATTATGATTTCTATTTGTTTATTTCTTTAATACGATTGTGACTTTTTTCTTGTTTCTTTTTCTCTGAAATCAATTGTGACGATTAGTTAATTGTTCTATTTTTAACTTACTGTGATTAAGGAGAATTAGAATTAGAATGTTGAATTTACCGATTAGATTATTTCTGTGAATTTACGATGTTGATTTGTTTGTTATTCTTTGTTAGGCCTAAGGGTTATTGGTTTGATTTTCTATTCTTTTTCATTTCATTTCCTCTTCAGTTTTATTAACATTAATTATCTAATATTTTGTTTACTCTCTTTCACCTTCTATTTATCCTAATTAAGATGATTATAGGAATTTATTTTATAATCAATTCTTAAATCAATTTAATTTTTCTTCTTCCTCTTTTTACTTTATTCTCTCTTCCTTGTTGTTATCCTTCCTGTTTGTCTTTAGTATTCATGATGATAGAAAAGTGTCCCAATGACCATGACCAATTTTTTTCTTTTCCAATATTTTCCATGATTTTTGTTAATCACGATTAAGTGGAAACGTTTAGCGAAGTTACTGTTAAACGACTGCTAATGATTTACGCCTCGATACAATCTAATTAACCTTCAACTGAATCAAATTTAATTCTCCTTGAAAGAATTAGAATCATCAGAGGATCAATGTTTTCCTTCAATGGCGATCATTTCCCGAAAAGAGAATCTGTCTCATCATGTATAAGTGAAATTCAACAATAATTTACATGATATTTGGAGAATTCAAATTGTGAAAAATAATTACAAAATCAATGGTGTATTTAAATAAGCAAAATGGTGTTTATTTGCAATTTACTTCATTACATCTCGTTTGATTGGTTATCAACTTCAGGAAAATGAGCTGATTTCATCTAAAAGGAAACAAGAAGAATGAAAAGAAAAGGTAAACAAATTAAGAATCTCATGTTTAAATTGTTCAGAAAATTTACTTACTTTAATTATTATTTGAATCCATAGTCTTCTTTGGCTGTTGAGTTTATGGCTTTAATTGTCAACGAGTAATTAGCTATTTGAAGAGATTCGACTATTTGAATTGTTGATCATTTTGTACAAACCAATATACATAAATGTTAACATGAAATCAAGAAAGATGAGGAACATGTTGCGTTGAAAGAAATCAAGAATCATACCAAAGTGGATCATCGTCGATTCTTGTAAATTAGAATCACTTCCGATTATGAACAAAAACAAAACAAAAGTAATAACACAAATTTGATGACACTTAGAAATTTGGAATAACAATGGGAGAATGATTAATGTCAGTAATTAATCTTGAAGCGAAGAAAGAAACAAAGAAGTGAGAAAAAATTCCAAAAAGCTTCAGAGAAAATGGAATTCATATTAAAGATGAAATAATACACAGAATATAAGAAAAAGGAGCCAAATCGAGTCAATGGAGAACAATTTAGTTTACTGAATGAAGAAAACGATGAAATGAAACGATTGAGTTGAAGGAACCAACGGTAAAAGTGGATCACTGAAAATGTAAGGAACTGTAATCACTTTTTGATAAGTTGGATAATCTCAAGTGAGTTAAGGTGAGTTAAAGATAATCTCTCGAGGACATCGTTAAGGTTGAATCTGATTTTCCAATTCTTACTATCAGAGAATCGTTTACCTCCATGATGTAATTTGGTTAATTGAGATTTTCTTATACTTAATGAACCCACAAAAAAATCTGTAAGAGAAATAAAATAAAAAACTATTAACAAGGATACAAAATATTTCCTATTACAATCATAACATTATCAACGTTTCAATGGATGGTTATTTGATTTCTCAAATATTATCATGTAAATGTCTTGAGGCAACAAATTATCAAATTTTTTCTTCTGTAAAGATAAAAATAAATTCAACTAATCACCTGAAAATTTCACATTCAATGTCACTTTCTCTTAAAATGAAAAATTTGCAAGTCTCATAAACGATAATCATTAAAATCTCTTCCGAGTTTTCTTACCTTGATCTCATTAGGAAATTGATTTGATTAGGAGATTTCAATTGTTCCATTGGAGCAAAAGAGATGGAATCAAAAAGATCAACCAGATAGAAGATAAATCAAATTGAATTAGTTTCATTCTCAATTGTAAACATAAAAGTTTCGTTTCTGTGGGAATATAGAGTAAGTATTGACGATAATTCAGGCCAAAGAATAATAAACAAATCGAGAGAGAGACACGAATATATTTGAATATTTCATGGTTCCATTAATAAATGTATCTAAATATTTAGGAGAAAAATTTTTACTTACTTGATTATCCAAGAAAATAATTCATTTCCATTGAATAAATAGATGAAAGTTAATCACCCAAAACAGTTTCCATGTCACATAGCGACAAAGTCACTCGATTCCAAGTGAATAGAAACAAACATGATGAGAGAGTAAAGGAAAGAAAATGATGAGAATTGAGAAAGTAAAAACATTTCTAAGATTATCCATTAAACACTAATAAAAACAACAATTAAACCCAAATGTTTACACTAAATAAAAATCGGAAATGAACATGGAACCATTTTCATTGCAATTGGAATCACTGAATTGATTAGACTTCATTTTTTTCACTGACAAAATTTTTACAGAGGAAAATTGAACTCACCCAATTACAAATGAGACTTTCTCATTACGAGATTTATTTATAAATCGAGTCTATTTTTAACTCTATTTCATGGTAAACACTGAGAAAAGAACAAATTTCATAGACAAAATTAAAGAAGAGAAATATTTTCTTGCCAAGAAATGAAAAGAGAAACTAAAACCAAGATGGCGAAGTGAAGAAAAAGAGAAGAGAACAAAAAATGAAGATAGAAAAGAACAAAATGTTTTCTCTTTTCTCTGTTCACTTTGTCTCTTGTTCTTCATTGTCACAGTTCAACATTCAAATTAATTCTTTCAATTAAATTTAAATTTTTCTTCTTTTTAAATTAACTAATCAATTTTTCTTCTTCATCTCAATTAATCTGATTGATCCGAGTGTTTCTTTTTTCTGAATCTATTACAAGATTATATGGATTAAACTACTTGTTGAATGTTCTTCTTCTTGTAATTAATTACATTTTTTGTTCTGTTTGTTGGTCATGTTGATTGTTCTTTATTGTTAATTGTGTTATTTGATTTAATCACAATCATGGATTGTTATACTTGTATTAAGTGGTCAGTTGTTTCTCTCCTAATTTCCAGTTCAATTGTTTATTTAATCGCTTATGGATTAGCTGTTCCGTTGGTTGAAACTCATCTTATTGAGTTTCATATGTTTTACCTGTTAACCCTTTTTACTAATTTTTTTGGTATTTATGGTACAATTAAGGAAAGATATTGTTACCTTTTCTGTGTAATCTTTAATCTAATCTCTTTATTCATCATGTCAATCCTTGTAAATCTACTTAATCTTGGTTTGTCCATTTTCTATTGCCTTGTTATATCTGATGTGATACTTTTTGCTATTTGTGTTAAAAACTGTAATGAACCGGACTATTGATTAACCAAATCATTAATATTAATCATTCTTCATCTTTATCACAATAATCATGATCATCAACTTGAAACAATCAGTTAACTGTATTAATCATCATTGGTTTGCTTAATCCTGAATGATTTCTTAATCCAAATAAGAAAAAAAAATGAAAAGACGAAACAATCAACTCCATTGAAAAGTGAATCGTTTATTGTTTTAACATGAGGGACAAACAATTGCTCTCATTGTTATTATCGGTGTTAATTGTAATTAATTTCTTTCATTTAAAAGAAAACCACAATTATGATTCCACATAAAAATATGTATGGATTTGTATGTGCATGGAAAAACAAAGTGTGTATTTACCCATTGAATTAAAAGATTGTTAAAATTAACCAACCAATTGATTAATTGTTTTTTCTTCTTCATGTTTTCAATCCGTGAACAGTAAATTCTCAAGTTTCAAGTAAATCCAATGATTAACAATTAGAGGATAACTCAATTATTCAAAGATAAAGGAATCAAATTGAAAAGATTTAAAAAGAATTAACAAAATTTCAAGTTTAAAGATGAGAAATATAATCGTTGGTTCCCTGAATTCCTCGGGTCAAGTAACAATTTGAATTGTAATCAGTAAGATGATTAAGATGAACACTTTTTTCAATCATCAGTTGGCGGCTTCCATTATTCTGATTCCACAATTAGCAGCAAAAGTTAATGACATTTTCTTTAAGGCGTTTGCAGAATCACATATCAACCAACTTTATCCGAAACAAACTAATTGTACTCGAAATGATGATTGTCCAATAAATCAGCTAATCCATGATTATGGTTATAATTTAATCTTACCGAGGTTCAGCTTTGGTGTATATTGAATTTGATAAGATATAATTTACTCTGTGTAGTGATTTCCATTTGCGAATTATTCAAAAATAGATTTTGTATTGATTTTGATTTTGATTGTTCAAAATTGAATCACCAACAATTGAAACTACCAATTGATATGAACACACTTCCAATTTAATTGAGTGACGAGGAGATGATAACAAATACATGTAATCAACTTAATCGTTTACCAATTGACCGCTGTCCTGGTTTAACTTTTTTTTCAGATATTGAAATTACTAATTTCAAATTAGTAGGAAAAAATTTTTCATGTTGATTGTCCAAACTGATTGTTGTGAAAATGACCATCCAACCGAGCACCAAATGAGCAAGGAAATGAAAGTAGTACATGCATACTGATTTAATTAGAATGGTGGGAATTATATCGGCGGGTTGATTCGTAGATTCAAAACTCGAATCATGAAATTCAAGTTACAGGGGAGAAATTGATTCGATTGAAGAGTAAAATGTTTACCTGTTGCAAAACGAAATGAAAAGAAAAGGGAAAGATCAATACATTGAAACAAAATCTAATTGAATAAAATCTCTCACACATTATACAAATTGAGAAAAGAATAGAAAAAGAAGATTGGACGAAAATTAAGAAGAAAACAGGTTAATTAAACCGATCATTTGAAATGATGGTGATTATGATGATGGTAAGTTAATGAGAAGGAAAATAATTCAGTTGTTATCGGAATCTCCAGAAAAAGACTTGACTGGGCAAAAGGTACAGTAGCAGATTAAAAGAGGGATGGAATCACGGACCATTGATGAAGCCTGAAGGAACAATTGAAGTTGATTTGGTGAGATTTGGAATGAAAGTTGATGATGATGATGAAGATAATAAAAGATGAAGGTGGATCCATATTATAGATGAAAAGAGATGAAGAGAGAGAGAGAGAGACAAGAAAAAAGAGTTGAAATGATTTAATTTAAAATTCTCAAACGATCATTTGAAATGGCAACAATTCCATCATTTAAGTTGATTAACAGTTAAAAGAAGAAACAAAATTAACCAGTAACAGTGAAAGAAAACAATTTAAACTAAATTAAGAAAAAGTGAACAACTTGGTTAATCCAAATTAATTTTTCCACAAAAAGAAAATTTTTTTTTCTATTCTAATTTTTGTTCTCGGTTACCAATGGTTACGCTTAAGACAAAGACTCAAAGTAAAAGCTCTGAGGTTGTTTTGGTCAAGAGTTCACCTTTAATTGGAGCAGCGACAACAATTCCATCTACAATTAACAATTCGTCGTTGATTAAATCACCAATCAGCTCTTCATCATCTTCTACAACCACAACTACCACCACATTAACCTCAGTTAATTGTTCTAGTGTTAAAAGTAAATCAATCTGTTCACCAATCGGTGGTACACCGGTCAATCCAATTAACGTTAAAAGGACTAATTGTGTTTCTTCATCTTCCGAGTTAATTAAATCGCCTAATCAATTTTGTGCCATCTTGGATGATTTTGTTTCCAAATTCTCTACTGATTCAGGGCAGAAATTAACATGTCTTAATTTGTCATTTTGCTCTCTCAAATCAATTCCTAATCAAATAACTAAATTCAAATGGTAATTACAATTGTTTTCTTCTCATTTTTTGCTTCTCTACTTTTCCATTTTTAATAATCGCAGGTAATAGTTGAAGTTTTGATCTGATTAAATTATGTTTATTCAGAGAAATTCAGCCATTTTGAATTGTTAGAGATGTTTTATTTATCAATCATAATTAAGTCTCTTTCCATTAACTGTCATTTCTCAATTTTGATTAGCTTGACTACTTTGATTAAAAGTGATGCTTCAAAACGGAAACATTTCAATTCTGTTTAATTTTTAACTGTCATTCAAATCGATTGATTAGTCAAGCAATAATGTGGAGTAAAACCTTGATTAACTAATTGAATTATGAGAGAAAAAAAGTGTTGCTAATTAACTAATCAAGTTATTATTTTTTTCTTCTTCTTTTTTCAATCAACAGTTTAAAAAATCTTAATTTAAGCTGCAACGAATTGACATCGATCACATTTCCATCTTCAAATGATACAATTGAATCTTTGGCCTTATCGTTTAATCAAATAGCCATAAACGAATCCACATTACAGTTAATTGCTTCCACTTTCACCCACTTGGTTAAACTTAATCTTTCTTACAATTCTATTGGTGATTCAAATGATTTACGATTACGAATTGATTTCTCTTCGTTTAAATTTCTTCGAGAGCTCAATGTATCTGGAATCTATTGGCGTAACTTGAGAGGGATTAAGGGTAATTCGATCATTGAACGTTTTTATCTTCACAGTTCTGGATTAATGGGATTACCATCTTTCGTTGGTTTTGATTTATGTGTTTCTCTTGATTTATCCAATAATGAGATTAACTTTGACCGTCGAACCATTCAAAGGATAGTTCGTTATCTTCCTTCACTCAGATACTTGGATATCTCTGGTAATTTAGATAATTATTATCCTGATTTTCGGTGGACTGATAAATGGTCAAAAGTTGAAATGGTTAAAACTCGTTGTTCTAACGATATCAACCCTAGTCCAGTAATAATGGCGATGTCGAACAAATTTCTAAGCGATTTAAGTTCCCTTACGGTGGTTGAATTTAATTCACCATCAGGAGATAATCCATTAGATTGTCGTAAGTTAATATTTGTCATCCTTTCCAAAATTAGATTCTTACTTATTGACAAGTCAATGACAATTTGACAACTCAAATGGTGTAATTAATTTTTAATCATTCTGATTTTTAAATCTAAATTTAGTTCCATATTTTTAGATGGCTCTAAGTCTTATAATCTATTTCTATTACTGTCATTTAATGTTTCGTCTTTCAGGTAAAGGTATTTTAATAGGACTGATCACTGGTGATCCAAATGCTGGTCAACTTGCTTCCAATTTGAAACGAATCTTTGAAGCTGAATTAATGTGCCCAGAAACATGGGGATCTTACATGAAGAATACAATATTATCTTGTTACAAATTTCTGGATGAAGAACGTATATTAAGATTGGAGAAGATTAAAAATCAGAAAAAAGTAGAGGAAGAAAATAATGCTAATGGAGAGATCGATGGTAATCCTAATGTTCAGCAAACTGAAGAATCAAAGAAAGATGAAAAATCTACGAAAGAAAGTTCTAATGATTGTCAACAATCAAACAGGAATAGTCGAAAAGAATTGGCTAATATTAACATTATATTATGTCATCTTGTCGCTGAATCGGATAATCTAGTTAAATTACGATTATCTCATTGTGGATCAGATGTTAAGATCCGTCTGGTTAAAGTTTCACCTCCAATGCCAACCAATAATGATAAAGAAAATCGTGATACATCAGCAAATACAACAGCAACACCACCACCATCAACAACACAATCAACATCATCATCATCTACAGCAGTTGTAACATCACCATCATCATCATCACCAGAAAAACAGTCTGACAATTCATCAAATAATCAATTGCTATCAGGGCAAGAAGCCAACAGTTATACAAGTTGTACCCAACGGGAAGTTGATTTGTTTGAAGCACATTCATTTACCATAACTGATCCCATTTGCCAGGAATTAGTCTTAACCAATGACCAGGAAATCGTTTTTCTTGGAATTAACTTTATGCTCAATGAAGATCGTCAGTTGAATAAAATTTTACAAAGTAAAGGATTCACTCTTCATGATAAACTGAAAAGATACACGGAATTGGAATCAAGTGCAAGAAATACAGATGATGTAATTTCTTTTGCAATTCAACTTCCCCCTCGAATCAAAACATCATCCATCGAATCAAAAACCGATGGATCAGCAACATCCGTTTCTTCAAACTCCATGGAATTCACTGAGAAATATAAAAGTTGGGAATGTATCGTGACCCAGAATCAAAATTTCAAATTCAATCAACGATTAATTACCATGCCTTTAACCAAGAATCTGATGGATATTACAAATTGTCCAGAAAAGAAAGACACAACCTCAACAGCGACGAAAACTTAAAAATCAAACTCAATGTAATTAGAAAATTTCATTCAAAAGGATTGATTATGGATGAGCATTGAATTTATTTAAATTAACTTTTGTCAGAGATACAAATACATACATATATATAAAGTAAATGATAACTGTAAACGTTATTTGTAAAATAATGTTACAGTTAACAATGATGAGTGAGTATAATATTGGATAAATTACATTTATGGTGAAAGAAAAAAATGAATTGGAATAAATATTTTCTGATTAGTCGTATCACCAATCAATCAGAAACTACAAAATCAATCATGTTAGATTAATAATCGAGAATAATAATAATCGGTTATTGGCTTTTTTCAAGCACTTTCTTCAGCAGGTGAACCGTAATAGTAATCGTATTGGGGCTTAAGGTAAAGTTTTAATTTCTTAACTTGAGCTTGTTTGGTTTGAGGTTCGTATTGATATTCATCATCGGCAGGTCCAAGTGAAGACGATGGAGGTGATGACCTGGCCTCATATTCTGCTGGATAGTAATCAGCTGGTGATTCGGAATCTTCCGATTGTGGTGATTGAACATATTCCTCAGATTGTTTTGGTTTAATTGAGAAAATCTTCAATTCTGAAGCAGCGGCGCTCCAAGAGTCTTTACCCTTTGACTTTCCACTGTCCTTAACGGAAACATCGTAGCTCCATTTACCTTTATTACCATCGGCACCATTGTAAGTTGCAGCCGCAGTATCGGCATCACTTGTACCTGGTTCGTTGGTCTTGATCTCAGCATTGAAACCATTCTTATCGGCGACATATTTGACCAATCGAGCGCGTCCATCTTTGTCCTTCAATCCATAAACACCTTCGACCCAACCGTCTTTCTTGGTGAAATCACCTTTCTCTTTACGGAAGTTGGTTGCTCCCCATGGATCCTTAATGTCGTAACCGAAAGCGTAATGAGAATGACCTTTAGTTGATTCTTGTTTACGGAAAATGTTACTATGACCTCCGTCGCCGTGTCCAGTAGCTGAGGCACAATCTAAACAAATCATTACCAAGATAACACTGGTAACACAAATTAACACAGATTTAAGATTGATAAACATGATGAATTGAATTGATCTTTTAAAGGTAATAGATTTTTATTAGAAATTAACAACTTAAATTGTAAAACAATTAGAAGAAAATTAAAGAATGATAAAAGTTTTAGTTTGTTGATTTGAAACTCTTTTAACTGTTGATTTGTTGTATCCAAAGATGAGATGTTTAACTATCAATGATTGATTGAATTCTGATGAAATTCGTAATCAAGTTAATCCATTTTATACAAAATTATCTCAATTGCAAACAATTAACAACAATCAACACACAAAGAAGGTTGAAAAGTAAACAGGAAAAAAATTCATTTCGACTCATAAACCCAACCCTTTATGCTGATTATTTAAGATGAAGTTTCGATTGTTTTTGTTTTAATCACTGTAATTAACTAAAAATCATCTAATGTAAGTAATTATGTCACTATGTTTAAATTAATTCCCTCCTTCATCTTCATCTTCCTCTCTCTCTCACTCACTCATTCACTTTCTTCATCTTCTTTAATTTCTGGTAACTAATTGTGGTTATTTAGGTGGATCGTTTTTTGACTTTCTCCCATTTAATCAACGATTAATATTTTTTTCTTCGTGTACTTTAATTGAAATCAATTGTCGAAAATGGTTAATTGTTGTTGTGTGTCCATTGGAATTGAATTTCGTAATTGGAACGATTAAGATCACTTTGTCTTCTTGTGACAATCAACGACAAATACAAAACACAAAAAACACCATCAACATCATCCAAGTTCAATTCACAATTAACCTTTAATACTTTTGGTAAGATAATTAATTGTCTAATTATTTAATCGGAAAGGTTCAAGTTGCATTTAATTGTTTGATATAAAAGCCAAGAATGTGTTTTTAATTGTAATCTAAACGGTGATCAACTGGATTGACATTTTAAAAGTTAATTGTATTTACAAATTTGAGTCTTTTTTTTATATTCATTATTGTGTTTACATCTCATTTAAAGTGATTAATTAATTTGACCTGAACCAACACCTCAATCAACAATTAACAGTTGAACCTCCTCTTTAAATTTAGACAATCAATTGATTATCATTGACAAATAGATTCACAATTAACTTTAAGTCAACAATCAAAAGATTCAATCAAAAGTTGTCATTTGATTGTCCAGAATTAAAAATTGATCATGATCAATATATTTTCATGACAATCAAATGATTTACTGATATGTTGATACAATTAACTGTTAAAATCAGATCATAATTAACCTTCATCCATGACCTGATAATTTGTTGATACAATTTAATGAAATTATTTTATTAATCATCATCAATAATCAACAATGATTAATTATCCATTTATTAATTGTTTATATTCAACCTTGTTGTTGTTGTTGTTGATTGTTTTTGGTTAATTGTCTCTAACCAAAAATGACCGAGGATGATTATGATTAACTAGATTAATTATCGTAGCTCGTGATGAGTTAATCAACAATTAATGATTATCAACGTTAATTGTTATGATAATTGTTGTTTATTAAAAAGACTATGAAATCAATACATTTATTCAATATTGTTTCAACTAACAACATGATTTAGATTCAATTTTCTAATTGATTAATTGTCCTTGATGATTAAAACAAAACAATCAAATGAATAGTTAATTGTAACCATATTTTAACCATAACAATTAACAAGAGAGAAAGATAATTATGCTAATTGTTAACTTTTAATTATTCTAATTGTAATCTCACTCAAACTCCCTCCAAAAGAAAACGATATTTAATAAAGTTTATCAAAAAAAAACTCTTCAATTAGTGATAACTGATTAACGATAATTTGTTCATCAAAATGTTCAAATTAATTTTAATTGTCACTTTAATCACAGTTTTAACTTTAATTGTTACAAGTGAAGCTCAGAGTTGGTGGAGGTACCGACGAAATCGCTCTTGGGTCTACCCTCGTTATCCCTTATATGCTTATCGATCACCTTATTATCCATATGATGATTATAATCCATTTCTGTTTTGGTGATTAAGTTAACAATCAGTTAATCATTTGCATCTTTAATCAAATTGCGAGTGAAACAATCAACGGATTCCCTTTGGCCAACTCCGACCTTTTCCAAGCTGGACTTGTTTATCACTATTATTGAGTTTACTTTTTGTTTTACTCGAGCAATTTGTTAAATGATAACAATTAACTTCCAATGTTAATTCAATAGCTTAATTGTTGTTCATCTATTTAATCAATTAACTTTGTTATGTTATTGTTTTTTTATACATTTTATTTGAAATAAAAAAAATCGATCATTTTATTTTTAAAATTAATTGTCTTTTATTTGTATCATGTTAATTAACGTTAATTGTAATGGATTAGTTAAAGATTTTGGTTAATTGATTTTGATTCAAAATTAATTATGTCCAGAGTTTGATAGATTCCAGTTGATTGTAATTGTAATTGTTCCTGTCATATGAAAACAAAGATGAAGAAACAAATTTATCAGTAATTAAGAATAGAAATTTAAGTTTAGATTAATCATAATTTAGATTAATTAACTCACCTTGATTTGAATTTAATACTCACCGATTGTTGATTAAATTTAGTTAAATTCAAGTTAATTGAACAATATTAGAATTGAAAAGTTAATTTAAATCTTTCATACAAGTTAATCATCTCTCTCTCTCTCTCTCTAATTGATTAAATTACGAGCGTTTTAATGATCAATTGAATCAAATTGTTGGCTTAATTTTGTTCAATTAATTGAACAAATTAGTGACCAATCAATTGATTGTGATGAGGAAAACACTTCAAGAGAGAATCCGTTGAATAGAGATGAAGAAAGAAAAGTTAATTACAATTAAATAAAAACCATCTACTTATCAACGAAACCAAACTTGAAGAATTGTAAAAATTAATTAATTACAATCAATGACAATTTAACAGTAAACTAATTTACTAATTACCACACTAATTTCCCTTGATGGTTAGTAACCTTAGTAAATAAACTTACCTTTGAAAATTAAACGCACGTTTAAACACTTAGAACAATTAAAATATCAACAAATTGCTTGATCACAATCACAAATCACTATTAATTAATTACCTTACGTTGATTGTTACTGTTGGGTGATGATTAAAGGCACTTAAATAGTTAAATTAGCAGAAAAATAATAATAAAACTTTTGATGAACAATTGGTTACCCACCAACCAATTAGATTCCAATCGTAAATTGTAAACAATTAACGATAATTAACAAAAACGAAACTCTAATAAGCAACAATTTAAAAAGTTCTTGGACCATAAATATTTAAATGAATCAACAATTAAATCACTTGTTCACATTGATCACTATCACCACTAATTGTGAAGATATTCCGACGATATTGAACAACAATTTACGAAACTGAACAATTTTTTTTCATCCTACAAATTAAATCAATAGACGATGATGATGATTTAATTGTTATGTTGGAAACAATTAAAATCCTTTGCTTATTTCATGATGGACACACAAAGTTAATTAACTAAATTTGATTCACTAAAAAACTTAGGAATGAAAAGAAAAATAGAAAATCTTTTTGATTAACTTTCCAAGGGTTAATCAACAATTGATATTAATTAATTTACCTCAAAATGAGTCGATTAATTAATTTTTCTAATTTCATTTAATCACAAAAGTAAAAAATGGAAACTGGATTAGTTGGAACACGATTAATATTAATTATTTTCTTTATGGATTAAATTAATTTTCTTCTTCTCACTTTAAGGAATTTTTCACTTCACTTAAAAGAAAACACTTCCAATCAACTTAATTAGAGATTTATAATTAGAAACAAGAAGAAGACAATTAATTAATATTCACTAATCACTAACATAAATCACTGGTAAACTATGAGGAAAAATCAGCTGAAAGATAAAGAGATAGAGAGATAATCACTTTGGATGGATTAGTAACCCTTTCCTTCATCATTTGGCTTTTGTATCTCTTTAGATTTAAACTCATGCACTTAATAAATGATTATGATGATTAACACGATTTTAACTTGACAATTAACAAAATGTGAGCAGCACCAATGGTAAATTGTAACAATGATGGTGAAAGAATTGTTGATAAACCAAAGAGAGAGAGAGAGAGAGAAAAAAAGAAATAGAAAAAAAATAAGAAGAGATAAGATTGAAAAGATTCAGAGACGAATATAGAAATCACATTATCGTTGAGAGAAAGTAGCACAATTAAACCGTTGTAATCGAAATGATTAATTATAATCATTGATCATGTTTGGTAAAACAATATAAAGACAGAGAACAGAAAGAAAATGATAACACTTTTTTTGGACACCAAGGGTATTTGTATGAATATACCTTGAAAAATTTATATAAGACCACAAGCCATGGGATTAATTTGGTAAATTATTATTTTTGCTTTCATTTAAATAATATGATAATACAAGAAATTGAATCAATTGTAAATGGTACTTGTGCTGACGTGTAGGTGCTGGTGCTTATTGTGGTTGTAGTTGTATTTGGAGGTTTGGTGAGTGTGTATGTGTGTATATGTATTTATATGTAAGTGTGAAGTGATGGGTTGATGGTTTACTTTTGAATAATCAGAGAAAACAGATTAAAGATTATCTTCTTGTTAAATGATTTGTTAAACTGGCACAATTAAAGAACACTGATCAATCTTTAAGAAAAGGTAAAATGACATTGATTTCTTTTCTGATTGTGTAGGTGAGTAAAAATTGATTCTCTTCATTGGCATAAACGATCAAAAATTAAACCAATCATTTAAACCTTAACAAAATTTTTGTCTAACAAATGATATTAAAGATGTTTGGTTAGGTGAGAGTGAGTGTTGACTTCTGGGCTTGTATATGAATAAACTTGGGATGTTGTCGATGTTAATTTCTTGGTGATAATGTTGTTGCACCTTCTACACGCACATTGATTCCGAATATTGAAGAAAAAAAGAATAAACCAAAAAAACCTACACTGAACGGAGGTCGAAAGGGAGAGAGAGATTATGAAAAGACAAAAAATAAGATAAAGGGAGGAAAAGGAAGGGTGAAAAAAGATAATCCATTCCAAGTTTGAGAGAGTTGGTTGTTTGTTCAAAGGTTGCTGATTTGATGCAGAGTATTGGATATTTAGGTTGTTGTATTTTTCTTTTGTCAAATTTGTCGTCTAAATCATTGGGTATACATTGATTGATTTATGATTAAGATGATCCACGTACTACAACCACAACTAAATATTCTTCCTTTTGACTTTCACCAGATAAATTTGGAGCAACTTTACGAAGTAATTCCTGGGCAAATGGACACGGTGGGAAAGCATAGAGAACACCAATCGCTTCTTTAACATTGTTAGTTAATGAAATTACTCCTGCAGCTTCTTTTTGTTTTAAATAAGTCACAAGATTTTTGAGAGGTCGAGTTTGCACTGCTCTTCCGTCTTCACCAATTCCTGCTTGAAGTTGTGCATTACTTGATCCTGCGGTGGCAAATAACATACAATGTCCTGAAGCTCCTGCACTGCTCATCCTTCTTGATACATCTTCTAACTTTAATGGATCAAAACGAAGTCGTTGGGTAATTTTGAGCATAGGTATTTCCGATGATGGATCTTTCATAAGAATATCAACAAGGGAAATATCACCACTGCAAAGGTACATTTTCGCAGGGAAGGCGCTATTTTTCAAAATTAAACCTCCATTCCATGCAGATGGACAGAATTTTACAAAATCGGTTAGAACTTTAACATCTTCTAATGGGGGTGGTGCACGAGAACGTTCTTCACTTTTATTCATTTCAAAATTGGGTGAATGTTTACCCGTTGATTCTTGACCACCACTAGTTCTACTTGGCCTTCGAGGTGAGCCAGGAGTACGATCACCTCCTGGTCCGCCATCGGGGGAAATAGAGGCTCGACGAATCTTTTTACGTTCACTCATCACCACTTCCTGTTTCTGGAGTTCTTGGTCGAGCTCTACGTCGATCATTTGATGGACTACGTGAAGATTCATCCCAGTAATTCCAATTGGAATTACCGCCACTAGCACCGCTACCACTAGGATAGCTACTTCTTTCACGTTGTTTCTCTTCAACATCATTGCCACTAAAACTATCCCCACTAATATTAGATGGACGATTTCTTGAACTTGCTTTTTCATTATAACTATCACCATAATCACTTCCATGGTATCTTGTAGCTATTAATATTGAGAAAAAAACAAACAAAAAAAACAATTTAATATTAATTTGAAAAATTTGATAAGAAAATGACTTTAAGTACTTACCACTTGTAGTTGTAGTGGTAACCGGTCGAGTTGGAGAGCTATAGTCCGAACTTGGGTCTCGACTATAAGGACTTGGGTCTGCAAAATCAACCCTAAGCCGCTTGTCAGGTCCACCTAATGCATGCCCTCGCATTTCTTGACAAGCCGCAGTTGCAGCATCGATGCTATCAAATTGTAAGTAAGCATGGGTGTTTCCTTTTACGAAATCAATTTTACGAATAGAACCAAATCTATCAAATTCCCTTTCAAGTTGAGAGAGCGATGTCCATGATCCCAAGCCTCCAACCCAAATTCTAGGAGTAGGAGTTGCTTTACCATAACCTATTTTACACTGAAATTTTCCAATATATTGACCTGACATTTCAACTTTAGCTCGATGAGCCATATCAAGATTCAAGAATTTAATAAAAGCATAAGCATTTCCTTGTCCAGGAGGAGGTCTTTTTACATCAATATCTTCAACGACACCATATCGTTCAAAAATACGTCTCAAATCGGGTTCAGAGATTGTTACTTCAAGATTTCCAACAAATAATGTTCGGGTTGCTTTATCATCATCTTCCGGAGGAATGTGATGCAAGTAATTGGGAAATTTTTCCTTTTTGGACTCTCGATGAGTTTGTCTATTAGTAGTACCTAAAATGTACAAAAATGAGAACAGAAAAAAATGATTTATAAAGATTAAAAATTTTGAAAAAATATGAGAGAAGAAAAACTTACCGGTGGGACGACTTTGGTGATGATAATCACTACTAGAACTGGTTGAAGGTCTATGTGTTGGTCTAGAATACTGTTGATTGCTATTACCACTGTTACTGGCATTTTTATCTACATTATTTCGAGATTGGAGAGGCAGTGGAGGTGGAGGTGGTGGTGGTCGTCTATTATTTGGAGGTGGGCTTGCAGGTGGACCTCGGGCACTACGGGTAGAGGTGTATGCTGGTGAGACACTTCTCCTTCTTCCACTAATGCTACTGCTACTTGAATTCAACATGCTACTTCGATGATGATCATAGATCGGTTCAATTTCAACAGCCTTGTCAAATAGATGTAATCTTGGTTTATTGTGTCGAGCTTCTCTTGCCTCCTCATAAGAACGGAAGTAAATGTAAGCAAACCTATCATTGTCATCATGACACACCTTTACAGAAACATCACCAAACCGGCTAAACTCTCTACTAAGAGCTTCCTTTACAGTGGTATCACCTACTTTAGCATTTAAATTGGAGATACACAATATTTTATAAGCCGCTGGTTCACGTTCAGGTTTAACCCTAGAAGAAGATGTTGAATAATCATCATATGGATCACGAACACTACCACTTCTAGAAGAAACATTAACAGGTGAATCACGTCCACGTCTCCTTTGTTCAGATGGTGATTTGATTCTATTCCGATCACGGCGAGAATCAATTGGGCTCCGGTCTCTCGGGCTGTCGTCGTATCTTGGCATCTTTAATCACCACTAAACAATTTTGTTAACAATACAGACTAAACATGTAAATCAGAATCAAAAGGAACACAACTAAATGCAAGCAATTAAAATACCACAAAGTTAATAATACACAAAATTAATACAAATAATTGACCACAAATATTAAGAAAATTATTTTCACTCTAAAAATAAGGCGATCAAATTTTCTCAAAATGGCGACCTTCAAACTTCCACCAGGTGGAGTTACTGAGAAGGAATCGAATTCGAATGGCGGTAACATTTGAATCGATTAACTTAATTTCTTAAATGAAAACATTTGATTATTTTTGCTCTTGTTTTGTATTGTTTCAATTTTTATCTTTTTTTAATTGTTTGTTTTTTGTACGTTGCACGAGTTTATTGTCCAGAGGCTTAATTGTTAGAATTATGATGATAAAAAAAAGAAAAGATTTCCAATGATTTACAAGGTTAGAGATTTTTTTCTTCTTGTGTTGGTTAGAAAAATTTGTTGATTGCTTTTTGTTTGTGTTCATTTGTGTATTTGATTAGTTATTAATTTAAATATGTATAGAGTTTGTTTGTTTGTTTGTTGGTTTATCGGACTAATTTCTTAAGCTAAACGTCAATTCCATTTATCAGCTATTTGATGAGCTTGATCGTGTGAGTTTAAACATAGAGATGAGATTGCATGTGAAATCTTATGAATCATTATATGGATTGATCGGTTTTCCCAAGTATGTGCTAAGGCCAAAGCACTTTGAACTCTAACACTGTCCCTAATAAGGAAGAGACAGAGAAAACAATAAGTTTATCATAATGTTTAGAATATAATTTATGTAGAAATGTTACCTTGCTGGAAATCTAATGAATGCTCGACAATCTTTATTCGAGAAACTCATTACATCTATAGGAATTGAGACACCATAATCACCAAAAGCGTCTTTCATGAAAGAGATAAGCATTAGTTTAAGATTCCTAGGGCAAATATCAAGCTTTTTAAGCTGAGTTTCACTGTATCAAGTGAAAAAGAAAACAAAAGAAGAAGAAAAAATATTAATAAAAGAAAAAAATGTTGAAAAAAAAGGTTAAAATCCAAATCTTAAGATAGAAAACAAAATTTTCACTTACATACTAATATCGGCAAATATATGGAATCTATCATCACGAATAAATCGATAGCGTTTATTTTTACTCAATTCCATTGTAGATCAATGGTATAAAGAGAAAACGATAAGATAAAACAATAAGAATTAATTAGAACAATTAAAATAAAAAAAAACCAAGATGAAAGTTAAAAATTCAATCACAAAAACAAAAATTCAAGAAAGAGAATCAGTTAAACAAATAGAGATCCGATATTTTCTATCAGATAGAAAACCAATTAATTCTTTTCTTTTCTAAACAATAGACAGATTATCTTAATCCATCGAATTTACTTTAATTCCATCAGGTCACTCGATTGAATTGGGTGAATTAATTACTAATTAATTTCCATTCTCTTTTCTTCCCAAATCAAATCAAAAGATAAACAAAAGACTAATCCGGTTACCGAATTGATCTTTTCCCGGCGGATTGAATAACCGAGCGTAATGATTACCGAGTTTAATCAAACCCATGAGTTGATTTGTTGTTTCAAATTTAATTTCATCTTATTGTTTTCTAATTAATTTACCTTTTGTTATTTTAATTGTTTACTTTAATCAACTATCATTGTAAACTATGGCTGACGGCGGTGACTCTCAACAACCGACAAACGAATTGAACAATGAAGTAAATTACCTTTTGAAAAATTATTTCTCCTCATGCCTTTGTTGTTTTTTCCTTTGGGAAAATTTAATCATCTCTTTTCGAGATTAATTTTGATTGTGACTTTTAATTCTCATTTGTTTATATTTGTTTATAGGCTTCTGATAATCCTGAAGAACCAAGGGATGACAATGATGAAACCGTTGACGCAGCGACACTCAGCTTAATGAGGAAATTGACAAGATCCAGAATTTTAGAGTCTAAAAGTAATGAAGTTGAAATAGTTCGAGCTAATCCAAATTCTCCTTTACATTCTGTGAAAACATTTGAAGAACTCAATTTGTAAGTAATATTTTTGTCCATCGTTTATTGAATTTTCTCTTGGAAGAGAGAACAAAATTTATTCTCTAATTGATCTCTGTCATTTTCTTCTCATTTACAGACCAGAACAACTTCTCCGGGGAATATATGAGATGGGATTTTCTAAACCGAGTAAAATTCAGGAAACAGTTTTACCCATTTTACTTTCAGATCCTCCGACTAATATAATCGCTCAATCACAATCGGGTACTGGTAAAACAGCAGCCTTCCTTTTATCATCTTTAGCTCGTGTTGATGAAAATTTGGGTTATCCTCAAGTATTAATTTTATCACCAACCTATGAGTTAGCTTTACAAACGGGTCAAGTTGCTGAATTTATGGCTAAACATAAAAAGTCAATCAAATTTAAATATGTTGTTCGTGGAGTTGAATTAAACAGAGATAATCCTATCACTGAACAAGTGCTTTTGGGAACACCCGGTAAAGTGATGGATGCTGGTCTTCGCTACCGGTCATTTGATATTCGTAAAATAAGAGTATTGGTTCTTGATGAAGCCGATGTAATGATAGACACCCAAGGGCATAGAAATCAATCTATCAGAATTAAAAATGGTCTCTCACCAAATTGTCAGATAATGTTCTTCTCTGCAACCTATGATGCTGCCGTAATGGAATTTGCTGAACAGATAGTTCAAAATCCCGTTATTATTAGATTGAAAAAAGAGGAAGAAAGTCTTGAAAATATTGAACAATTTTACGTCCTTTGTAATACGGATGTTGACAAGTACAAAGCTTTGGCGAATCTTTTTGGTACTCTTTGTATTGGTTCCGTTTTTATCTTCTGTCAGACCAAAAAATCTGCCGGTTGGTTGGCTGAGAAATTGAGACGAGATGGACATTCGGTTGGATTGATTACCGGTGATTTAACGGTCGAGGAAAGAACTGAAGTAATCAATAGATTCCGAGATGGTGTTGAAAGAGTTTTAATCTCAACCAATCTGATGGCCCGTGGAATTGATGTTGATCAGGTTACCGTTGTGATTAACTACGATTTACCTATTGATGTTTCTACACGAGATATTGATTTCGAAACATATTTACATCGAATTGGAAGAACAGGAAGATTTGGAAAATCTGGACTCGCGATTAACATGGTTGATTCACAACGAACATTAGATATGGTTAAGAAATTGGAACAACATTATGGAAGAGAAATATCCATGCTCGATGCCAATGATCTCGATAAATTGGAACAATTGAATAAGGATTTTTAATTCTATTACAATTAACTCAACATTTTCCACCATCAGTTAATTGCATGCCAAAAGCTCTTACCTTAATCATCTATTTTTCAAGAAACCGATAATTGATTAACAATTTGTGATTCTTTGTGATATTTGGTGTGTCAAGTTAATTTATGGAACTAAAGTAAAAGTGAAATTAACTCGGTAAAATCTCTTATTCGCTAATTTAGATTAATATTAATTAACTCAAATTGCAAAAGTAAAAAAGTGGCTAATTAAAGCAGTTACAATTTTATTTGACCAGTGACATTGATTATGCAAATGAAGTAATAATTTATTGGCAATTTGTTTTTCTTTGATGTTAACTTTATTAGTGAGAGAGAAAAAAAGACGTTAATTGTATTGTGATGAATAGAAATGAGGAGAGATTAATTGATTTAATTCATTGTGACTTCCAATTGAACGAGACGAGCATTAATGTCACCAGGCATTCGGTAAGGAATCATACCAGCATAGGTGATCAAAAGACGAGCTTTTGATTTAAGAGATGTAAGAAGCTAATTAAGAGAAAATATTAATCATTAATACAATTGTTGCTGTAAAATGTTAATTGTGATCAATTATTCAGGGAAAATTAGAAAACAAAACTTACTCCCTCTTTTTCATTTGCTTCAACTAATACACCAAATTTACTAGATGTCAATGGAGCGATTGATCTGTAGGAAAAAAAAGAGAAAATGAAAAATTATTTTAGTTAATTAATTTCATCTAATTATTCTCAAGGGAAATTACTTGATCTTCTTATATTGAGTGTGAAGTATATTCATGGTGGCAACTAAAATGTCTGGAATTAATTGGCGAATCTCATCAGCATATGAGGAAAATTCATTGGCTTTGGCATCGACTTGTTCAATTTTAAATGGTAGAATGTTGAGTTTTTCAATTATCTGTAAATGAGAAAAGGCAAACAATCAAATTAAAACTGGTGTAACAATAGATAATCTAAATTAAATACTAACCTCCATAGCATCATCGAGTGATAATTTATGGTAATTGTCAAAAAATGCCATCAAATCTAATAGTAAATGAAAAACTGAAACCATTTCTGGTTTGGCATCGTAACCATAATTGTGATACCTTTCAGCGATATTAATTGCTAATGGTTCCAATTTGTCCCTCAATTCATTTGGTACTTTTTTCTTAGGCACTAAGGGTGTTAAATATTTAATTAGTAAATCCAAACATTTCTCATCATCTTGAGATAAATCATATAATTTGATGGCTTCTTCAATCAATCCAGTCTCCTCACAATCAGCAGCAACACGTCGGATTAGTTTCATTGGATCAGGATGATATTGATCAATTAATCCAGTTACTCTATTACCATCAACAGTTTTATAACCCAACACAGTCTCGAAATCTTTATGCTCTCTCAAAGCACTGGACAAGGTTGATAAATTTTGGTCAGTTGGAGATTTTTTTATAAGCTCTAAAATTGGTGTATAATTGGCAACATCTCTGGTGGTCAATCTAGAGTAAGATCTCTCATTTTAATCCTTGGGTAACTAATCTAGATGAAAGATTAGCCATGGTAACATCAGATGAGTCATTTTCATCTCCAACAAGATTGGTTAAAATGGACATTTTGATCTTCCCAATCTTTGGCGGTTTTAGACCAACATTTACCATCGACAATTTCAAAGGTAGCCTTTTTACCTCCTCAATAGATGAAAGAACAGCATTTTCTCTCTCATTCTTTAAAAATCCATGGATATCACTAATCTTGGATGATTCAACGGTAGAAAAATCTGCTTTCAATGATTCCAAATGTTGATTAGCTTTCTGCAGGTCATATCCTTTAGAACCAAGAAGTACCGATGCTCGTGCTTCATTAGAATCTCTGGAAGCATGATAACCAGTTCGAGTCCATAAATTGTGACCAACTTCATATAATTGTTTAATATTACGCTCGATCCGAGGAAAGGTAAATCAACTTGAGCTTGAAGTTGCTCAGCTTTTTGAAGATCATCAAAACTAGTAACCTCCATGATATGTTTTCCTTTTGAAACACCGCAAGACTTTAATCACCACACAGAGTAAATTGAACAAAAGAAAATACAATTCAATCAAAGAAAATCAATAGAAAATTAATTAATCAATAATAATCAGAGAATAAATAAAAACCGGTAAACAACTGAAAGAAAAAATCAAATTCTTATAAAGAAATCACATGTTCTTAAAGCTTCGATTCGATACCAACAGATGTCACCACTTTTCGAAAATCAATCAACTCATTTTCGTTCTTGTCATTTAACTAAATCAACTTTAATTGTAATTAACTCAATTTACTTGCTCCAATCAATTTCTTCAGGTAAAATTTGACATTTGAAGAATATTAAACCAATGGTTCCTAGTGAATTATCTTCGTCTAAATATAAAAGAATAGAATTTCTTTATTTTCTCTCTTGTTATTTTTTGTTCTCTCATGTAATCAATTGATTTCTTTTTCTTTTCTTGTTTCCTTTGTTGTTTCCTTTTATTTTTTTTCACTTTAATTCCAATTGTTTATTACATAAATTATATTACAATTTGATAACTATTTCATCTTCTATTCTCTTTTTGTTTATAGTTATACCTTTTCCTTTAGATACTTCAAGCTGTGTATTAATATTTGAAACCATTTATCCAGAGGGAGAAAAAAAAACCAACAAGGAGAAGGTGAAATTACCAGTTATGCTATGTGAATTCATCTTGTCCAAATATCCAACATACAAAACAACCAATCCAAAAGTATAAAACATTGAAAGGACATCAGCAAATCTAAATTGGAAAAGAAACCTCTATTTACATTGACACACAACATCAACACGTCTTTCTTCAAATCTTGTAACATCTAAAACATCATCAATTGATATATTAATAATATAAAGTGAATTCTAAGTGACAAAAAGTGCCAAACTAAAGATGGAAACGACATCATCAAGAAAAACGAAACCAAAGGAACAAGAGGTAAAATAAATAATAATATTAATTAACTAAAAAAAAAAATAATTACTCAAATGAGGAAACAAAATTAATTTTTACCAGAAACCAAAACCGGATGAAAAATGGTTAATTTTCTGGACAATGATTAAAGGAATTAAAAATGTTCCTGATTACTTTAAAAATTTAAAGGAAACTCAAAGAGAACATCTAATCGATGACCTTACAACATTAATTAATAATAATGAAATAAGGAAAAGCCTATCAATAGGAGAAACAAGATTGAAAACACTGACCAAATCGGAAATACAACAAATCAACAACGAAAAGAATTGGGAACACCCGAATCATGAGAACCAAGAAACAACAAACGAACAAAACATCAACAACACCAACCCAATACAAACTGAAACACCAAATATCCAAGAAGAAAACAACATAGATAATATTATATACCAAATGAATGATTCATCACAAGAAGAAATAATATCAACTAATGATAATATTATTTTTGATCAATCAATAATTGATCAAATAATACAAGAAGATCCAACAATTCTAAACACAGAAGAAAATCAAATAATAATAAGAAAAGAAAACAATAAGAGGAAAAATGAACAACAACCCAACGAAACGAAGAAAATCAAGACAATTAACCCAAATTGGATAAAATGGTCAAACCAACCAACGAATCCAACTGCGTTTATAAATCTAAATGGATCAACAAGTGAAAAACTTTTAGAAGAAATTGAATCATTAAGGAAAATAATACAATACAATTTGAATTATTCAAAGAATCTTCAAACAAAACAACAGCATCAAAATGATTTGCTTCGATTTCAAACAACTTGAACACAACACACAACAAATAAAAAACAACATCCCAATGGTAACAATTAACATTAAAAAACCCAAACAACCAAAGGTAAAAATATTCAATTTCCCGATAACAATCAACAACAAAGAATACATAATTGAACTAACAAATACAACAAATTCATAAACAGAAAATAATATTATTAGTATTAACAACTACAACAATAAAACTGACATTAGTACAAATATCACCTGAATAGATCTGATATACAAAACTGGGTACATAAACCTTACCTTCAAATCACTAAAGGTAATTGATAACATTTTTGATCCTTTTACCGCTGCTAAAATAAATCAACACAAAACCGGAGATTGTAACAATCAACATATTTGTAAAAATTGCGCTGGTTATCACAAAACATGTAAAAATAATAATAACACTAAATGTGGAACTTGTGATAAAGAAAACCACAAACCTTTACATACAAATGTGAAGAATATAAAAAATGGATACAAATTGAAACAAACAAAACCAACTATAATTATGAATATCTAATGATTTAAACGAAAACAATTAATAATAATAATAATATTTATTGAATCGATCAAAATTGTCTCTTTGACCAAATAACAAAATGGTGATACAAAATCTTTTTCCTATCATAATTGATAAAATTGAACAAATTGAAAACTCTTTCTCCTATTCCAAGATACAAATGGAACTTTCTTATCTCTAATACATAAAATTCACTCTCTAAAAACCCAATTAACAATAAAATTTATTCTTTTAATTTTCATCATTTCCACGATAAAATTCACAACTCAATCTAAACTTCTCACTCACAAAAAATAATAATAAAAGATAAGGAAATAGTAATCACCTAAGAAATTAATCCTCAGCAGGATAACGTTGAGAATCACGAGGATATGAACCCAAAATTTTAACACAAAGATCCATCCTTGGGTTGATATATTCATCACGTTTATCAACCAAAATTAAATCACCAGAACGTTTGAAAACATCCAGAAAATCCTTCAAAGTGGGAAATCGACTCAGAATGATGAAAACCAATAATATCAATAGAATTAGGATCATATCCACCAGATTGAGCGATCTTTGAAAAACATCAATAGTAGAAACATCCAAAGGAAAGTCAAATCAGCAACTCCTCTACCAGTGGATCGAACTCTAATATTAATAATATTATTCTCGATGAAAAAAACCATTTAACACCATTAGAAGAAACAACATTAAATGTAAATTTCCAACAGTTCGACGAACAGAAGATGATTAATTAGTGGAACAAATTACTATTATTAATAGTAGCAGGTAAATGAACAGATGGAACACG